CTTCCCCAGACATCCATTCTATCCTGTTTTTGCCCACTTCAAGGTACTTGTTCGCTCTCAGCTTTACCTATGCATCAGTTTCATAAATAGGGAAGCCTAATAACGGGTTTTTGTGGAACAGCTTTACCTAAACATTAGTTTCATAAATAGCAAAGTTTAATGACGGGATTTTGTGGAACAACTTTACCTAAGCGTCAGTTTCATAAATAGGGAAGCATAATGACGGGCTTGTGTAAGACAGTTTTAACTAGGCATCAGTTTCACAAAAGGGGAAATCCCAGGAGCACTCTTCTTCATCCTTTCCGTTCTTCTTCGCTCCCCTTTCCCCTCCAAATGTACGCTACTTAGCCAATCGGCAAAGGATCTACGCCATTCAGTCCTTATCCACCTATCCTAGTCCCACTCCCCTGCCTCGAACGAAACCCGCCACATACCGTCCTCACTTCCACCTGCCACATTCAAACTGCTGCCATTCGCCGTGGGGCAGCCCTACCGTCGGGAGAAAAAATTTTTTGCGGCTTGTATATGAGACGAGCCGAGTTTTTGTAACCGCCCGAAATAGCGTTAGCGAGAGGGTTGGAGAAACGACCGAGTCGAGCTGAGATTTAGTAACTGCCTTACAATGTGCGTTTTTGCATTTGCATATATACAGCAAAGTATAAAAAGAGGCAATGATAGTGACGGGACGAAAATTTTCCAGGCTGTGAGCACTTCTGAGAAATTTTGGTGGAGGCATGAAGATAGCTATTTTATTAAGTCACTGGCGACGTGCACCAGGCGGGTACATGCGACCATGCGTTTTTGCAGAGTCACTGACGACGTGCACCAGGCGGGTACATGCGATCATGCGTTTTTGCAGTTTTTCATGCTATAATAAGATCGCTTGGGGTCCTAGAAGCTAGAATTTGTGGCATATTATCCATGAAGTTCAGGAAGTTAATTGTACAACTACGTGGTACTTGATCAGAGAACAACCCCTCAAAATTTCAGCCTTCTAGCTTTCTTGGTTCCCAAGTTAACAATTTTTTCAGCAAAAGTTTTCGTAGCGTCGTACGTGAGGACCACGCACACCTAGGGCCGAATTTGAAATCTTTAAGCTGTGCGTGGGCTGGGAACATGCCCTTATAATTTCAGCCTCCCAGCTTTTCTGGTTCCACAGTTAGCGATTTTCGCGCCAAAAATTTTCACAGGGCTGTGCGTGAGA